TCTTCTTCTTCTTCTTTTTCTTCATTCCTCTTCCTCTTCTTCTTCTTCTTCTTCTTCTTCTTCATTCTTCTTCTTCTTCTTCTTCTTCTTCTTCTTCTTCTTCTTCTTCTTCTTCTTCTTCAAATAAAGGAGTTTATGATCATTGATCCTTTTCTTCCGCTCTCTTTTTTATGATATATTTAAACAATAATCTATCGATTAATTTAACGTACATTCATACAACAGAACTCCAACACCAAAGTATAAGTATAATTCTTCCTTGTTGGTCTTTTAAGGTAAAGAGAGTCAAACGTGTTTTCTATTTTCTACTTGATCCTTGCCAAACGTTTTTCACAGATTACCAGTTTTGTATGTAAACGGTGCATGACGTCACAAGATGGCGCCTTTTTCTTTCATTACATTACCTTCATTTTGAATGCTATTACAGTATTCAGTTTAGATAAATCACCCATTAACATAAATCGTATTCCATTCATCGTAAATTGAAAAACAAGAACAGTTTTCAGTTTTCGAAGTTTAGTTTATATTTTCATGTTTTGCCAGGGTCACTATCTGTTCAAAGGATACTGTACCAACTTTGATGGTTCCATGTTGGGATGTGGCCAGTACAGTCTCACCTTCCATGGCTTTGGATTGTAATATAATTATAGTCGTCAAAACAGTAAAAGAAAGGCTAAAGATCAAATCGATCATAATCCTTATTTCTGACTCCAAATTGTGACAACATGTTAACCAATTATATATTCTCAAGTGATTTGAATTGTTTAGTTCCTTATATGGATGGATCAATAATAAATCGTTATAAGTTGTCATTGGCTATGCTCTAAAACATCCTGCATTAAATATCTGTATATTGTCACTTTATGGTGAATGCTTGCTGTTGTGATCGAATGTTTACGAAAGTATTTAATTTCTGCGCATGTGCAATAAAGTGTTTAGTGGAAAGCAAACCGTAAAGAGCAAAACCATCCCAAAGCCTTCTTTGTGTTAGCAAAACTATGCATTTATAATGATGCGTAGCCTAAATAAAATAATAAAATGACATTAAATCAGTACAGTGCTAAGAAAAACAAGGAAAAACGTTTAAAAATATGGACCAAGACTTGCATAYTTGAATAACAAAGGCTTACGTCACATTGAGTATCGCTATTTTCATTGCAATTTATTCATAGACGTATATTGAAAACAAAAGGCATCATAGTTCAATGCACACAAATCTCTTAAAAGGCCTGATTATATCAGATCTGATTATATCAGATCTCGGTTTGTCTTCAAATACAAAAGATTCCRGCTGTGCAATTACATGGAAAGCGAGCCAGCCCGGTTTGCCGAGATCTCGGTAATCCACAACCGGGATCCCGGCAGACCGGGCTGAAAATTTCCCATATAATCGAAAGTCAAGCGGGCTGCCCCGCTTTAGTGCGCCCGCTGTCCAGAAAAGTGTCAGCTGTTTTGCGTACAGCATGAGTGCAAGGACGTCACTCGTCGTAATTTTGACTTTCTTAGCATTTTGTTAATGCGATGCTGCTACAGAAGCTATTACGATATTGATTAACCGCGTTCTTTAAATCATATAAAGTTGCAGTATTCCATGATACTGGAAAAGCAGTGAAAAGAGCATACAAAATTGTGTTAACAATAAGCGAACAAATGTCCTTATCCTGGTCAAATTATTATCTTTATTTTATGGAGATTTAAATTTCCGCGTCAATCCTTCGCGGCGAAACTTAATTGATTCAGCTGGGGTAGCCCGGCTAATCCTGTCTCATATAATTGCGAGATGGGATAAATAAATAATGATCTCGGCAAACCGAGCCAGCCCGATCAACCGGGCCATCCCGCTTCATATAATCAGGCCCTTAGAAAGAGCTGTTATAGAGAGAATCATAATTAATAGAGGGGAATAGTTTGGAAACTTCTCGTTGTACTTCTTTTGTACATCATGTATCTATTTGGGGTTGAATCAGTCAAGACCGTCACAACTTTTTTCTTGCGGACGATGGAAATAGACCATTCCCGCTTTCGCTTGGATGAACACGAAACAATGGCTTCATTCCGAGGCTGGAGTTTTAWCTTTTGCCGAAAACTCTAGCCTCGAAGTGAAGCCATTGTTTCGTGTTCATCCGAGCGAATTCGGGATTGGTCTATTGCAAAATAAGTAAACATAAACACTCTYTATGAGGTTATGAAATGAAATATTTCAATATTGGTTAAACATTTTTGTGACATTTTTTAGAAATTGTCAAAAGAATACTTTTCTCTCTGTTCGTTCAAATGTGACCAGTATGGCTAAAAAAAAAGATTGTGCACGGTCACGCTGGGATAAAGAGCACAAAAACATACAACAAAAGGCTTTCTAACCATTTMCGTCTAGTGACTATGAGAGAATCAATCACTCCAACCAAACGCTCTTAGTCAAGAAAGGTACGCATAATTTATTGAAGAAGACCCCAGGCAGGTATTATGAAGTGATGTTGTTAGTCTGTGAATGCTTGCAGTCGGACAATTTCGTCCTAAGATCTTGACATCAATAGTCGAAAAGTTAAGCGCAGAGCCCGAGACATCAGTTCCATTTTTTTTCGTACATCGTTTATCCAAATAGCTTCAGTTTTTGGCAAATTCATTTATCAACAACAATTATCGATAATCACTGATACTTCTGTGAAAATTTGAGTGCAATCGAATCGAAATTGGGGACGTAATTGGAGTTTAAATAATACGCGCGACGCGCTATTTATTACGATCGAAACATATTTTGATATGAAAACTTTTTTTTAAATGTTTTTAAAATATTTTAAAATATTTGTATTACAGTGGATATCTCACTTTCAGATTTAAAGATGCCAGTCCTTCATTTATTTCTACGAAAAAAACTCAGCAATTCTGAATGATGTAACCCCTTTGAGCTCGAAGTGCAATCTTAATTTTGAGCTGAATTTTTGGTTTTCCRTAGAAGTATCAATTCAAAACTGCAATATTTTGGATCGAAACTAAACAGAAAAAAGATCGTAATAATGATATGAAACAAAAAACCTCATTAACGTGTGACGTGGGACTGATATTGTCGATTGACAAAAGGCTGTCGTCGATCGGGTTACACGAAACGCAACTAGCCCGAACTGGTTTCTGGGTAAAAATCAATGAACTGGCAAATTAGAGATTTGAACATCTTTGTGATTGGAAGAACTGACACATAATGTGAAGAAT